GAATATTCCAGTAAAATAATCCTAATCAACCAGGAAAAAATAGTTTTCTTTCAATTGATAGTCACTTTATTTGCATTTGAAAGGCAAACAAATTATTATGTGTAAAACTCAAGTGCCCAATATATTTATCTAGTTTGTTTTACAATGATTTTCAAACGTTAGAAAATTAAAAAGTATGCCCAAACGAATGGGAAAAAGATGGAGGAAGGGAGGAAGAGAAATCTTGTTTTGAGGGAAAGAAAAGAGAGGACCTCTTCCAGTATTTAATAATGTAGTGAACATCTTGTTGTTAAAATGATAAATTCTGAGTAATTTATACAGAACACACTAAAAATACAGATTTGAGTCAGCTTGATCAAAATAAACCTCAGACATAGCATTTGCTTTTTCCTTTTATGGGCAGATTCTAGACCTTTGGAGCACATGCTTTATTACAGCCAAAGTCTTTGAAGCATGAACAAAATGATAAGTTTATTTAAAAAAGGGCCTCAGTCCAATGAACCACTTGACTTGTGTCAGGAAGGACAAACCACCACCTCAGAGAACTGCATCACCAGTTAACTCTCTCCTCCTAAACTATCTGTGTCATGAACTTCTGACTTTCTCCAGTCAAGTTTCAGTGACATTGCATCGCTGTGGCACAAGGAAAGCTAAGGGAGGTAGGGGGAGAAGAAGACAATAGTGAAATTTAGAGGAGGTGCTGACTTCATATTCAATTGGACACAGATAAGGCTATTACTAAACAAGGAATGCCTAACATCCTAAATTCCCATTAACCAGCTGAAACCTGCAGAAGTAACAGACATATAATAAAGTACCAGCTTTGAAAAGAAAGGAGGCCTGGGGCTGAGGTCTGGAAAAAATTCCTAGCCTGACAGGGACTTTTTAGGAACCTGGACAAGCAGCTGCACTGCCTGTATGTCAGATTCCCACCCACAGGACGCTTTTTTTTTTCCTGCCAGATTTTCTCTCTTCTACCTCAACTGTAGTGCTCAGGGTCAGGCCCAAGCTTCCCTAACAGCAACGAGCACAATGAGACCTTGATCTTGGTGAGGATTGCTAGGGAATACAAGAAGTAAAAAAATAATGATGTCAGCATTTCAGTGCAGGATGTGGAGCTGCTTCAGAGAGCTGCAGCTACAAGGCAGCACGGAGAGCCGTACTGAAAACTGAGAATAGGACAATGTGGAATGGAAGTAGAAATTACTAGGCTAGAGAAATACTAAATTTATTTTCACTTTTTAAGGTTCAAATCTGAAACTTGGTGGCCCATAGAAGGGGTTGCCAGACAAATCTATGCTGAGGACCAATGTGCAAGCAAGTCCAATCCTTTTGGGAAGCATCTGCACTACAGAGTGCTGTATACTCTGTCTGCATACGCCTACTAGCTCTAACACATTCTGGATGTGCCAGACTTTTTGCACATGCACTGTACAATTCTTTCTCTGTGCAAGCAGGAAATCCAACCTATTCTGAGCATGATGGACTTCCACTCATGCAGCACACCTACGTAAGATCTCATGTTTCCTGTCAGAGCCAGAGTCACTGAATTTGTACTGCACAGCCAACCCATAATTGTTCGGTGAACACATCTGACATTTCTGCACGTCTGTAAATCTTGTCAAAATCTCTGGAAGAAGGCTGCATCCTTTACAGCAGGCCTATCTCTGGAATTCTGTGAGATATTATTGTACCTATCCAATACCAATCAAAAAAACTCTTTGCAAAACTCTGAGACACGGCCTACTCCTGTAAACTGGAAATGCACTTCCTACTGAAAATATTTCTCAGCTGAGATCTTGGAACAGTATTCTGTTTTTTGGAGAGCTGCCAAGCATATATTGCATGCAAAACCAACATCCAAAACCATGCGAGGTCCACAGCTGCTAAGATGCTGAAATGCACTTGATCATTAATCCTGTCACACCCAGCCCAAAAATCAACTAGTCTGACCTCTTCCACTAGCATCCAAAATGGACAGCTCGGTCTCTGAAAAAAACGGTCAGATGAAAATCATAGTATCAGTTAGTATGACAGATACTGAAATATATAGACAGTCAGCATTTAAGAAAACTGAAGTTTAATAAAAAACCCCTGACTTTAATATTGTAATTATTGGATTGAGGATCTGAACAAGAATTACTTATACAGCTAATCTCAGAAAGGTAAAATCAGGTGTGTGTTTAAGTTAATTCTAAAAAGGTTGAATGTTAGAAAAGCAATTTGTATTTTGTTCAAGCTGTTAAATACAGGATTTGTTCACAGGTATCGGGACAAAACATGCTACATTTCTATCAACAGTTCTGTAGTCTGTTCTACTATTACATCCCAAGTAGTTTTAACATATACTCATTTCACTCTCAGTAAGAACAGATTTGAAAATATGCCTATGTTCTAGTAAGCTTCAGTGAAGCTTCATTTTATAAATATGAGACCAAGTATGCAGGATTGCAGCTAGTGAAGTCATAGAGGCAGAAGATCTATGGTGTGGATGTGCCACAAGGTTTTCTTTGCCAATATATGCATTAAAATCTTGGAATTGAATTACATTATAGAATTACTAAATCTTGGGACAGAGCTATAAAACTTGTCTTTTACTGTCTTACTGAGCATCATCACTAGGTGAACAGTCAACAACTAAGTGAAAGGACTGAACTACCTTCAAGTCAGGTAACATTTCCTTCCACTGATTTTAACCAATTTCCCAAACAGTTCTTACCCATATATGAGAACTAGCTTCCTTATATAATTTTCCTCTAGGAAACATAAGGTCTCTTCCTTTTTATGATCAACTCAAGAAGGGTTCCATAGTCAGCCTGTAGTAGTTGGGGGCAAACATACACAGCCATGCTCTTACTTCATTTAGAAAGTTGAAGCAAATTGCTTGTTTTTACAGCATGTGTTGCATTGCTTTGGGGATCTTTGCTCCTCTTTTTTTTTTATTTTTTAATTTTAATCCCCCAAACATATAAGATGTATTACCTGATTAAAAAAATAGGGTGATATTTCTGTTCTTCTGCATTATAGAAGAAGAATCAAATAAGTGAGTTAAAAATATCATCTTGGTTCATCCACTTCTCAACACACCTGCTGTTCTCCATTTCAGACGCAAACTCTTCCAGGTCAAAACTGAAATCATTACTAGAGAAACCAGAATGATGAAGACATTGAGCTGCCAGTTTCTGATGCAGCCTTACCAAGTTACTGTCAATCAGTGACTGTAATTTAAAAAAAAGCATACAACGCTAAAGAAATATTAAGAACAATTATCTTGTGTCCAATTGGAACGTTAGACCTCTAGACAGAAGGGTTCATTCCTTGCAGCCTGCCAACATTTTAGTAAATGACACTGGCCCTTTAACAGATGGGATACATGCTTCTTAGCTTGCCAGGATCCTAATAAAAGACACTGGCTTCTTTAAAATGAAGGACACATACCTCTCAAATTGCCAGTATCCAAATTGGGAGTCAGCAGTTTAAAATAAAGGCACTCATCAATCTGGCAAAATCAAGGACACGGCACAGAAATTTTAAAACAAATGGTACAAAGTTTCTCCTGACATTACTTAACTTAGATGAACTAAATACTTAAACACTGGCTAAGCATATCCAGTAGCAGCACTGTAGCAACTGGATACCTTACTAGCTTTTAAAATGGTAAATATTAGCGGCAGACTGCAAGGGTTGGGGTTTGGATTTATTTCTTTTCCCCATCAAGCCCATTAGCTACCACTTATACAGCTGACCACGCACTGCACAACTCGAATGAAAGCAGGGTGTCTTTTCCCTGGGCACTGACCAGCACCACAAAGGCTGGCCCGTGTGGAAAGACCTTGCCTGCCCTAAAGGAACCATATCTGCTTCCATTCCATCTCCCAGAAGCAGGACGCTCCAGTGAAGGAAAGAGACCTCTGAAAGCTTTCCCCATGCCCTGACAACCCATATTACTACAACTTGGAAAGTTTTACAGCAACTGCAGACACCTCTTGAGAGCCAGCAAGTATAAGCTCTAACTTTTCTGATAGCAGCCATCAGAGGGAAACAAAGACCTTCTTCAGCATATCATGAAGCACATCTGGATGAGTTGGGGAAGGGGAGAGAGGAGTTTGCTGAGCCTTGTCAGCACTTACAAACTATCCCCAGTTCCTGAAGGGCAGACGTTGGGGAAAGCAGAAAACTATAAATTCTCTTTGTCTGGAAAGATAACGGAGTTGCTAAGATTGGGCATGAAAAAGGAGTATTTTATGAACAAGACAGAGAACTGGGCTTATTCACATCAGTGGTTCCTTTCATTTCAGTCTCAGAGCCTTACCTCAGAAATACAGGAACTCACAGCTGGCACACACCCAGCTTCTTGCCTTGCCCATCTCACCCACCCCACCGCTTGCAGACCCCTGCCTCTTCAGACTAATTTTAACCATTTGAACCTGCTTTTTTCCTGGTGTCTCTTGGCATACTCAGCGTTTGTTGAGTAGATATTTCTGCAACATGTGGCTAACCAGCAAACGCTGTGCAGAAAAGAGCATATCTAAGTACAAAACTACCATTTGATGGCACAGCCAGCTGAAGCCGAAGAGGCCTGAAGTGCTGGAAAACACAGCAGAGGCTATCAGGAGAGAAGGGAGGAGGTTCTTGCTTTAGAGGAGTAGAGAAAAAAAAATTACTAAGTCAGCTGGTCTTGGGAATAGGCAGAGGTGAAACAGGTTTTTAAGGAACTGATCTTCACCAGCTCAGCAGAAGTTGGGATCTGAATAGCAGCTACCTCGGTGAAGTGCACAGAAACTGCAGGAGACAGATAAGCTCCTGCATACAGCAGCCCCGACTCGGCCAGGAGACTGGCCTAAAGCTCTGTGTTGCCTGGACCTGACTGCCAGCAGGCACGGTCTGGGACATCTCCAGACAGGCTGTCTGTCTGTCCCTTCAAGCAATCCCTTGCTTTGAAGTTTTTCATCTGATAAACAAAGATGCTGCCACCATTTACTCACCTTTCACGTTCATCTTTCATTTTCTCCAGCTCCTCCTCTTTAAGTATGCCTTGCTTTGGGTTCCCTTTCTGATCTGTTTTCCCACTTTTATCTTCTTTTTTCTTTCCAAATCTGTTTAAGATATCAAGGAAGGAGTCAGGAGGAAATAATTACTAGAAGAAAAAACCACTACTTATCTATCATAAACCACAGAAATTTTAGGCAATCAAAACACTGCGAGTTTTTATCTTAGTCACTCATAAATTTCCCACATTGCAAAGTAAGTTACCAGTATTAAATGCGCCATATGCAACAGGAAGGACTGGTTACAAATTGATTTGGACCCGGTGCTGTCGAAAGCTATTGCTTGAAACAAAGTTGAAAAGCCCCACCAAACCAGAAATCCAAGGCACTGCAGGGCTGGACTATTAATACGGCACATTTTAAAGGGGTTGAAGGTTCTTTCTACCACAGGACAGCTCTCTGAAAGTAATCTGCAGTGGCTGTGGTGTCAGCACCCAGACTGGACCACGTTTTCTGCTCTTATCAGAAACTACTCTCTCATTCATGCCTGGCCTTAATTTAAGGATTTGTTCTTTGTTTAAATGAGGATGCAATTGCAAAGAATAAAATCTTGCTATATTCTGAGAGTACAAAACTAGACAGTTCATAAGAGCTCTTCTTTAAAATACTTCTGTTTTTTCTTTCTGCCTAGTAATATACTATCATGTGATATTTATGCCGTGAAAGTCCTCCAGAGACCCCAATCAGTTTGGGGGTCCCACTGTTCTATACACTGTACAAATATGCACAACATAAGTCTGCTTTACGCAGGTGACTGAACTGCGGAGCTACATTTCATTTCTGATGGCGTTAGATAGAATACTGGGGTCAAATATGTAAAATATGCTCATGAATTATGGGCCAAAAAGTATAAAAACCTCCCCTCCTCTTTCAAAATTTGAAATTCTCAGTTCCACAAATAAGTAAATGATCAATCTGTGTCTTCCCATGCAAATTAATGTGTCCTTGCATGCATGACAACAATGTAATGATTTCTTCATTAAATATACCATATTGCAAACTAATTACTCTGACTCAAAACTGCAAACTCTTCTGTGAAAGCCTGCAGCATTGCCTCAGTGATCTTTCTTTTACCCTTTTTATTTTTCATGTCAGTCCAAACTGCCTCAAGCGGAATAGCTGAACTACTGTGCATATACTTAAGCTGTAAATAACTGACTTTAGGTTTCTGCTCTGACCAAAGCAGAAATCTTGCAAATACTCTGTCAGGCTCATAAGTTAATGATCCAAATTTTTTGTGAATTTAATGAATAATTCTGAACTTGTGGTCAAATGAAGTTCTTAGGGACTCTGCAGCAAGTCTTCCAGACAGTAAGAACTTGGTTAAGAAAGGGAATGATGGGCGTGAGAGACAGACACGTAGCATGTGGTGCTAAGAAGAAGAAGAAGGGCAAATACTACAGGTCATAACATGAGATGCTTTACCGTGGCTCTGCCACGGCCTGTGCTGGGGAGTAGGAAGAGTCATATCTCAGTGCATGGTTTTCTATTCCTTTTTCTTACATGTGGCAATAGAGATAGATGGTGTCTTACATTCTTTGAGGGATGCTTTGATCAAAATATACATACACCTCATCTACAAACAATCCTCAAATCTTTTCTATGGTCCCTACTCATTTCAGTGCTTCCAGAAAGACAGCAGATACTTGCCATGCTTTTGCTTTTCCCGAGTCAGAGCAGCACGCTGATTCCACTGCTGCTTTCTGAGTTCTAGCAGTCCCAAGACACTGCGGAGCCACAAACCCCATCAGAGGGTGGTGGTGGCAGTGAAGGCAGCAGTCGGGAAACACAGGGGAGAGACAGAGGTTGTATATACAGTGAGAAGATACAAAGTGAGAAGGGCTCACACATCTGAGACGAGCCAGGTGAAAAAGAAAAGCTAGATGAAACTCTGCATATATTGCTCTCTACGGAGATGTCAGGCGGCCAAAAAATAAATTGCCCGGGGATGAGCACCAGCAGGCTGCACCTGAAACACCTCTGCTTTCTAACACTTGCACATGCTAGGAAGGTCTCATGGCAGTTTTCTCAAGAGAGGTTGTATTAGCACTTGCATCTTGGTCATAATCCAACTCTGGTACTTTGTTTATATTCAGGCTGCCTGCTTTTCTCCCACAGTTTCAATTATGGATTTGTGGAGTCTCATATTTGACTGTAGTATGTATTGATTTTGAAAACATTATTCTTGGGCATTTTGTATTGCTGCAGGGAGTTGAAGTTGGATCTGTTGCATACTCGAGAGAAATATAAAAAAAAATCTTTAACATACGTCCCTTTCAAGTCTAGGTATTATTTCTTGCTTACTGGGGAAATACATTTTAAATAAAATAAAGTGACAATTTTGATTGTAATAACTGCCAACATGACAACTCTCAGCAAAAATAGTGCTGTTTGCTGGTAGAGCTGCTCTTGCCATAAAACTGGCAAGTTCCAGTGTAATTATAAATTGGGAATAGTGAGTTGGTCTTGATAAAAACAACTTTTGGTTTTTTGCTATTTTTGGCTTCAGATGGGATTTGTGCAGGCTTACAATTTTTACCTGTTACACTAAGTATACAGAATATAGCTCAAGGCTAGGGAAATGTTCAGATTTTTGGCCTCTTTTGCACATTTCTATACCATAAAAATCCGTTCTCTTTTATTATTATAGTAATAAGTTTTTCAGCTCAACAAAAATCTTGCACAAATATTAAAAAATAAAAGCAGCAAAAATTTAACACCGTTAAGAAAAGCAATATAGAATAGACAGCATTAAACCACAAAACCCCCAGTATCATCTCTGCCTGAATTTACACACCCTGTCCTAAAATTTATGGCCTGCTCACTGATATGTTCTAATTGCCATGGCCTTCCAATGATAAAATTAACTTGCACCCATTGTAATTTTGCATGGTTTGTGCACTACAGGCTTAACGGTTCTCTACTGCTTATAGGAACAAAAAAAAAAAAGGAGTACTTGCTGCCCAACTGGGTTTGATCATGTTCTCATTGATACCAGTGTGAGGCCCTTCACTGATTTCAACAAGGACAGGATAGAATCTATTGTCAAAATTATGCTATGGAATTAATCAAATCCATATTAAAATTCTATGAAAACTGGATGGCTTTACGATTTGAAGTTTCCAATTCTCCAGGCAACAAATAATTGGATTGTGGTAAAATCTGCCTTCCATATTAATACTATTGTCAGAAGAATAAAAACATTAATGAAAAAAATGTATGGCACACAAATTTTTAAAAGGTCTGTTTTGCTGTACTGTGCACAGCAAAATTCTCTTCAACTTAATATCTGATGGAATTGTTACTCTGAAAATGTTATGTAGCAAATGCAGAAATGTAACTAGAAGACCTGAAAACAAATGGATCAGCTGTATCCTCTCATTCTATATCCATCTATAATCAATTTACGTCAAATGAAGCCACTTGTAATCATAACAACAGTAAGGAAATAAATCCGTATCTTCCCAGGTTGAGTGACTGCCCCAGTTCTCTGATTATCCACTGTAAATGCCTGGGAAGTACTGTTAAAGAAGTTAAAGCCCTAATAGCCTTAGTATACTTTTCAGTTGAGAAAATTAATATTCCAACTACTCAGAGCATAATACTCCTGTAAACAAAAGCATAAAGGGATTTTCTTTATGTGATCAGACCTCCGAGCGCTTCATCCTTATGGGAAAAGCCCATATGCAACAGTTGAAAACATGCTGTGTAAGAGTGAGGAACTACCCTATTTCTGTTAATTTCAAAGGGTGCCCTGCAAATAATTAAAATTTTTCCCCTTAGAAGCATTAAATAAATGAAGTCTCTGAATACCAAATGTGTGTCATCTTCTTGCAGTATTTATCACCATTCTATTGGCTCTAACATTAAAGCATATGTATGCTTCTTTTCAAGGCTTTCAAGGGATAAAAATTAAAACAAACCTTCTATAGGCCTGCTCTGTTATACTGCGGATAAATGTCTTATATGCAAGACCTAAAGCTGTGGTCATGGCAACACTTTGTTTCCGCGTGGAGCCGTGAGCTTCCAGATCTCAAATGTGTTGATATTTGCCTCAAGGATTAAAAAGCAGGCAGGTCTATAAAGTCCCAGACTTCTAAGCAGGAGAAACATCTGGTGGGTGGAACCCTAAGCAGCTTGCTGACTAAATTCAGCAATTTGGATTTCTTAGTTAATTCAGTTGCCCTAGATCAGTAGGTGTCACTGCAGCTAACAGGGTACATAATGGAACTGCAAATATCTGCGGGGAAATAATTCAAGAGGGCCTATGACACAGTCAAGCAAGATACAAAGCCTAACAATGTCATAAAATCTTGACATCTCCAGAAATGATCTGTAAAAAAAACAGAATGATTTGTAAAGTACATATAACAAAAGCTCTGGCTCCTAGTCATTTCACAGCAAATGGGGAAAAATGCCGAGATTATTAAAGCAGCTCCCTTATGAAAGACTAGAAATAACCCTTAAAATTAAATTTAAATGTGAGTAAGAATGAATAAGTGAGCAAGAAAGATAAAGATACTAATAAGGTATGATTTTCAGGTCCACACAGGGACTATAAAAAGCTTATTAACTGCCACTACTGCCATGTGTTTTAAGATATTTTATCACTCAGCTTTACAGCAGAAGAAATACTCTAGAAGCAGTGCTGTGCTTTGATTAATCACTTTCATACATACACTTTTACAGAGCATTAAACATTGCCGTAAAGATCCTTAGTGAGTCAGACTTGTTGGTGATTACAGGCCAGGCTCATTTTACATTTATGTTAACAGCAGCATTAATGAAATACATCTTTTACATTTTTAGTGGCTCTCTAAATACCTAAAAGGTTTGTTATTAAATGTTTACTTATTGGGCAGAAGTATGCCATTGAGTATTACACCAGTGGGACCAAAAGCGCTGTAACAGCTGAAAAAACTACAGAAAGAAGAGAACATGTTTTGATAAAACATGCTTCGACATTTTGAGAACAGAGCACACACAGCAAGGGCTGGGCAACGCTGTTCAAATCTTCACCAATATCCAAGGAGATGAAAGTATCTCCA